TTAAAATCCCTCAGCCTCAATGTGGACATAGAGCATAGGAGCAGAGTTATTCTGTAAAAATCTCGTGCTGCTGTTGTTTGTTCCCTCTACTCCTCCACAGGGTTTTTGTCATTTAGTCTCCACTTTGCTGTCTGTTTCCTCCCAAGGGAATTACTTGAATTCCGCAGCTTGAGGCAGTTAACCATATAAAACAAACTGTTGTGTAGGCGGCTGAATTAATCTAGCCTGTATCTCCCCACCAGCATTCCTACTGGACAAGAGGTGGCGTGTGCTGTGGCCAGTCTGGAGCCACATGTTTCAGATTTGTTTGGCAAGCTCAGGCTATATACATGAGCGAGGTTTTTCCAGCACTTGTTTCTCTTGGGAGCTAATTTAGTGGGGCTTTTTTCCTGTGTTCAATTGCTGATTTTTCATTCAACTTCGAAGAGCCTAAAAGATAGGAGAAAACTGCTCTTAAATTAAGCTGATGTTGGCCCACACACTCAAAAGTTTGGTGGACTCTGAGTACAAGCTTTGAAAATAACGCACTATTGCTCTGGGGGATCTTGGCAGCCTTGAGGTGGAGGTGAAGAGAGAGAAGGAAGGTTTAGTGCCTGGTTTTTGTTCTTTCGTGTTTTAGTTCCTGCCTGGAAGGTGGACGTGGTGGTGTCCAGCCTGAAACTCTGAAGTCATCTGCTAGACCTTGTGATGCTGCCGTACGTCTTCTGAGAGTCAGGGCTTTTCTCGCAACTTCAGTTACCACAGCAGAGCAATTATGTGACAGCATCAAAGTTTTTTGGGGGGGAAATCCTACTGGCAGAAAAAAAAAAGTCTGGAAATTTGAATGCTAAAAGCAGTAAAAAGGCAACCCCACTATTTTGGCTGCTACAAACCAATTTTAAGGGGGTTGGGGCAATCAATCTCAAGCCTTTTTTGGGACTTGTAGTGTGGTTCTGTAGTTCTTCAAGCTGTCAAAATCCTTCATGATTGTGCCTGTGGCTGCATTCCGCTTACAATACTGTTTTATTAAGATACTTACCTTTCACTTGTCATAGTCATTGTGAATCGTTCATAGTTGTTCTGTTTTGTGTAGTTCCTGAAGTACTGTTACTTTTTTTTTTTACTTGGAAGTGGCCAATTGCTTTGAGACCAGCAATTAAAATGCCTGTAAAATGTCTTTGAGTTGGAGCAACTGTCGGTGCTGAGCAGACTGTGAAAGCACACAAGTTGAAACATTTCTCATCATGTTCTTAGCTTTTTCAAAAAATGATTACACAATTCCAGGAAATGAAATGCAGCATTTCACACTGAAAGTAACAGGGTTTAAATAGTGGAAAGCAAAGAGGAGAGGAAATAAGGTGAGGAAGAAAAGTTTGGAGGGGAAAAGAACACACACAGAAAAGAAATATTATGTCCTACCCTAATATTTCAGAGGAGGTACTGACCCTGGTCAACCTAATGGGAATTATTAACATACCTAATCCTTAAGTTCTGTAGGCGTAGGAGATGACCTTACTAAGTAATTCTGGAAGTTCTTACGTTTCCCCCCCTTGTTTTTTCCATCAGACCTTAAAACTTTCAGTTTTGGGTCTCACCAAAGTTTCCATTTGATCCAGTATCTTGGCCGACAAGAGCCTGGGGATTTTGCCTGGTTGCTGGTGGCCAGCGCTGCACAGACTGGCTGGAGCTGAAGCTGGGACAGTCATGTTAACGGTTGCTGATGGGCCTGTCCTCTGTTGTATCCACAGCTGCAACACAGTTTTGTGGAAATAAATGAAAATATTGTGTGTGAAAGCTATTACTTTCTCATGTTTGAAATGATGATGTCTGATAATATGAATAGAAATTGATCATTGCCATATTATGCTTAAAATGCAAGGTGGAAGGGTCTCCTGTTCATCACTTTGTTTCATTTATATTCTAGGAACACCTGAGACCTGGTCAGAGCTTGTGGTCCCCTTGTTAGTTGTCAAACATGCATAGAGGGAAAGCTCTTGATACACGCTTGAGACCTACAGTTCAGTGTCCTAGCAGGTCACAAAGTGCTGGAGACTTCATTTGAATCACATCTTGAGGTGCTCTTTGTTCTTGCACCATACTGTGTGCCAGCATAATGGTTATTACAAAATGCTATAAATTTAAACTGGAAAATTTAGAGTCTGTCTACCGCTGATTACCAAATACGTTTACCTCACTTTTCAGCTGTTGTCACAACAGTTGGAACAAAATCAGTGAAACTAGACTTGGCTTGAAGCTTTTAACAAAACTTCATTGCAGGAGAAAGTACTGGAAGGGACTGGGAAAGGTCATCTTACCCAACGCTTTGCCTCCAGGTATTATCACCTAAGCCTAAATCTTTAGCAGGTGTTGGAGCTGCTAAGAGCTTTCAACAAGAGGCATGTTGTAAAAGTGGTCTCTATCTGTTGCTGTAAATGCACATGGTTTACAAAAAAAGAATTCTTTTGGTATGGTTTTTTTTCAATAATTCTGTCAAATACTTTTGCTAACCCTTAGTAGGCTTTTAGGATGCACATGGGTGTTTTTAGTCCCTCCAGCATTCAGTAAGTCTTTTAATGATTTGTTTATTAATTGATCTGTAGCTTTGGGATCATTTAGACTTTTGTGAGGGATGACAGACAGATGAGTAGAGTATATTTAGTTGCTTAGTTTAATTGTCCCCGTCTGTGAATTTTGTAGGTGAAGAGCAGCATGAAGGAATGGAGCTAGTGAGGGAACCTCTTCTAGAAAATTACCCCCCTTAGCAGAAAACTTGGAGAAAGCTTTAATTAACCTATTAATTCAATACTTAAGTGTCTGCAAAATGTTTTCTGAGCAGTAACAGTCATTACCTCTCATAATTGTGTACAGTTATATGGACCTTATATTTACATATATTTCCCTGTTAGATGTAGTTTCTCAGCTTGTTTCCCTCTGTCCTGAAGCTTTTACTAGTGCACTCACATTGTACAGCTAGTGCAATTACACTTTGACACCACTTAATCATTTGAAGTGAGCGTTAGTCTTTAAGCTTGAGAAATGATCATCAGTGCCACAAAAAATTTGTATGTCGAGTCTCAGAGGTTTTGAAAAGCTCGCTGGGCCCTGCCCCTTCTTACGGCTCTCTGGTACGGCAACTAGGCTCTGTGTTTATCAAGGAAAAACTGTTTATTGTTCTTTGAGTTGGGACTGCTCCTGTGTTGGGGTGATGCCTGTTCTGTGAAGTCCCACAGCATTCTCCTGGAGAAGCTGGCTGCTCACGGCTTGGATGGGTGCGCTCTGCGCTGGGTTAAAAACTGGCTGGATGGCCGAGCCCAGAGAGTGGTGGTGAATGGAGTCAAATCCAGTTGGCGGCCGGTCACGAGTGGTGTTCCCCAGGGCTCAGTGTTGGGGCCGGTCCTGTTCAATATCTTCATTGATGATCTGGATGAGGGGCTTGAGTGCACCCTCGGTAAGTTTGCAGATGACACCAAGTTGGGTGGAAGTGTC